ATACCCCAATCGATCTACGTGCGTCTCTGCCATTCTCAACATGTGGCGAACATGTGGTGGGTTTGCGGTGGGATATTTCCAGCCTGCTTGGATTCAACGGAATGGATTGGGTCTGGTCTTTGGTATACAAGCTATCGTCGTTAGTATTTCCGTTTTGTTGACCATTGTGCCTGTACTGCTGCGAGAGCGACGAAAAGCTGGAGTAATTGGAACGGTTGGAACAGCTGGTACTGCATAAGCCGGGGAGGTCTTCGTCTGATTGCATGTGTAATTATTCTTTCAGTACATTCTTCAAGTTATTCATTGCTAAATATTTCAAGACACAATTTGGTCCCGTGCATGAAAAACTTCCCAGATTTTATTCCACCATGTGAGTTAGCTTGCGCCAAGTTATTCGCAGTAATAGGAAAACATGACCGTCTATGCGCCTCCGGGGCTCCATAACGGCAACCTTGGAACCGGCTCAGGGTCTACACCGCTATATCTAATTTCTTTGAGCTCAGGTAGTCTTTCATCCTATACATATCTTCATGATTTGTCTGTCAGTAGCCAGTATTAGAGATATAAACAGCACTTTTGATCTGCAGGCTTTTCTGGATAGCGTGAAGAACAGAGCTGAGGAATCATCGGATGTTGATATTGATGTTGCTTAATGTTGAAGGGAATAGCCGAGGGCCCCAGACATTAGCTTAGTAGTTGCAGGCAAGAAGGAGATGTATTAAGCTTAACTCCCAATGCAAGATCAGTCAGCATTTGAATCACCTCTTGTAGAACAATGAATACCAACTTGAACTACATACGAGCTCGGGTTAGGTACTGAGTTGTGGGTCTGGCTTATCAGGTTGATATACCAGCTATCTTAGCTTATAAACGGAATTTCGACTCGTTGGCCGGTGGTTTTGGCTCGGCTCGGCTCGGCTTGCCGTCTTGGCCAATTCATTACTTGGTTTCTTTACTGGTAACTAAGGATATCCCGTAAGAACTTGAATTTGAACGTTGGAAATGTTATATTTATTTCTTTGTATGATTGACTATATTTCATCGTCAAATTGATGCATTGATCGGGTCCTTGGATCCCATGCAAGCGACTCGGAGTCTCAAGTCCGTCCAGCAGACAATAAAAGAAAAGGTAAAAGAAATGCAGAGCAGAAGTGCGTGAAATGCCAGCAACGCCTCGCCGATGACCTTGCTGCGAAAAGGAATCGCGGCAGAGAGGAAAATAGAAAGTATGTGCAGAGAATGGTATATATACAAGACAAGACAAGAGGTCAAAAGAAAATGCTAAACGGGTGTTGGTGTTGGTGTTATGTTCATGGCTCGCTTCAAAAGATGTACTCGACTTGAGGACAAGACGACTGGAAGTTTCGCAGAAGCTTCTGCACACGGTGGGTCATCCAGCCGGAGTATGTGCCATTGCTTGCAGCGCCGTGGAAGGTCGTAGAGGCGTGTTTGCAAGTATTCTCTTTCTGGTTCCAGGTGTATTGCAGACACTCCTTGTTCTGCGAGCAGGCTTGGTGGCAGCTCTCCAGCGAAGGCTTGGTGGGTTCATCGAAAATTATATCAGTGGGTGACATGTTGTCCCAATCATCGCGTCCAGCGAGGCTACCGTTGTGAATGAATTCACGGTAGACATCGGCATGGAGGAGAAGAGCATTCTTGCCACTTCTGAACCATGTCCGGTCGAATTGCCACATCTCCTCGATGTCTCGAGGGGTCATGCGGTGGTACGAAACAGCGGGGTAACACCAGGGCTGGCGACCGTAACCCTCGGAGAAGTGATCAATCTCCCAGGGTCGAGTGGTCAGCATCATGGGCCAGGCCCAAGTGAGTGGGATTTTGATTTGGTCAAAGGCCCGCGCGAGGACGCAGTCTCCAGCCCACTCATCGGCGGTCATCTTCTCCAACTCGGCTTGGTGTTTGGAGCGGTATGTTTGAAGACGCTTCATCGCCTCGGCGGAGAGAATAACGCCAGATCCTCCGTAGGCAAACAGGATATCGCCGATTTGCATGGGGCTTCCGATGTAATAGCTTCGAGTGTGGTCCAGGTGGGCCAGCCAGTTGATCAGGTTGGGCCACACGACGTAAGTATCGGCTTCGATAAAGATGTACCACTTGGCATCCGGCATCGCTTCCAATGCCCCATCGATCATGGGCAAGAACTTCCACTTGTCCAGCTTCCATCCGGGGTTGTTGGTCTTTCCAAAGGGACCGTTCTCGTGGTCACCCCATTCTTCATCGGTGAGGCCTTCCCGGCCAACCTGTTGCAAACGATGGTAGATGTTGAACTCGGGCTCGCTGTTCATCGTTGCTTCGGTCACGTTGCTGAGGACATCGTAGGTTGGCACGCCGCTAATGGTTTCCTCATAATCGGAGAAGATGGCGTAGTTGGGGACACATTGGAGGGTGGTGCGGAGCTGCACGGGGACCTTTTGTTGAGACTCCGTGGCGCCAGTCTTCAAGACGACGAAGACATCATCCATATCCCGGCGAATGTGGCCACACTGGTTCTCCTCAAGCTCCTGTTTGGTGGGTTTGGGTGTCTTGGGGGTGGAGTCACTGGTCGGAGGAGTTTTCGGTTCTTCGATGATGATCTGGCCTTGCTCGGCGTGGATAGAATGTTCGGCATTATGGGCGGCGACCGAGTGGCCGTGGGGGTTGAGGTAGAGGTAATAAATCAGGCTCAGGGTAATGAGTGGAGAGACGATGAAAATCCATCGTCGTGGGGAAGTGAACATTGTCGCGGGTTGGAAAGAATGAACGATCAGTAAAGGAGTGTAGAGGAAGGCAGAGCCATGGAGAGGAGCAGAGAGAGGAGAAGAAGTCGTCGCAGTTAGAAGAAGTGAAAGAAGTGAAAGAAGGGTGAAAATGAAGGCGCAGCAGGGACAGAAAAAGGGAGATGGTGATCAGCCTTGACAAAGACAAGACAGGACAGAACGGTTCGCGTTCGCCATTCCCATGCCCCCCTCCCACAGGCTGGCGATCGATGGAGAATTGCAGTTCAGGGACATTGCTGATTCGACGGCGGCAACGAAGCGCTGGAGTGATAGGTCATGCATTGGGGCAAGCTGGAGAGAGATCAGCGACCACGCGGGCCAGGGGCCAACGAGGCCGTGGCGAGGGTTCAAGAACCACCCGCCGACCCACGGCCGGCGTCATCGGTTGCGGGTTTTTTGGCAGACGAAGCAAGGATCGACTGGCGCCGGGGGGCACTGGGGCTGGTGGGGTGTCCAGGAGGGTAGAGATCGCCAGGGATGATGTCTCGGGGCAGGCGTTTAGCTGAAGCAGAGTGCAGAGTACGAGTTCTCATGGATCAAGTGCATGTACATGCAGCAGATTGAGGGTACTCATTCTTGTTCCAAGGGTTTCAAAGTTAAAGTTGACTGTGTTGAAGGTGAAACTGTGGGGAATGTTGAAGTGGAGAAGAGGCGAAGTCGGCGAACCGAGGTTGATCTTGATGGATGACTCAGCATTCTGCTGACAGCTGAAACAAGCACAAGTCCACAATCTGTTTATGTGATAGTATGAGTTACAATAGTTTGAAGAATTGTTTAAATTGCTCAATTAAACTACAGCCCCTTGCTTCAGCAATTGGACTCGAGCGTAGTTGGAAAATATAGTCAAATCACGGAAGTGTGGCCTCCAGAGCAATGCCTCTACGAACTCACTGGAAATACATAGCCCTACTAGGTGGACATATATCCAACTTCGAGTGTTACTAGTATTTTGCCCTCTTTACTTTCAGACACGCCAGAAATGCGTTTTCGTCCATGCTGCGTGTTTCAAATATTATTCCTTAGCGCTCCGTAATTATTAGCGGCACATCTATATTACTGTGGGTGCACAATATTACCGAGTTGCATGATGTATGAGAAGGAATATCGACTACTGGTACCTGGGCAGGTAGAAAAGCCTTTCATAACCCTCATTTGTTCTTAATAGACATTCAAATTCTTCATCTCCATTTTATTCAGTTCAAATATTTTCATTCTAATATGCAAAATTGCAATATCTCGCCCATAAACACTGGACTCGTATACTGGTATGTCTCTCCCAACTCAACAACCTTGGAAGCCATTTACTCTACCCAGAGATAACCAAGCCACCTTGGAGCGGCAGGGCTGTCGCAATAAAAGTGATATCAATTACCCAAGAGTGATGAAACACTAGTCGCGATATAAGCGTCTTTTTGAAAATTGCCGCAAACTTGAACCCCTGATCTCCACAATAAACCCCTATCATGACGCCGTATTCGACCAGCTCTTTTAAATATGACATGGCTATGGAGTACCAGTAAATATGTAGAACCCGAGTCGATCTTCGTCCCCGCTACTCCGTACTCTGCATTTTATTTCGTCATGGGCAGTGCTTCCAGGACGTGGCAGTGCACGCTCACCGTGCCCCTCCACACGAAAATCCTCGAGCACGTCAATAACCTCCACTCGATATCGTTCAATAGTATGCAATAGATTGTTGTAGCCTGCTTTAAAGATGATTAAGCTTTTGGTGGAGCAACTACTTACCCGTTCGGTTCTTTTTAGTTTCAATGGGATCTTCAGGGGTAGATGGCACGTGGGGGAGGGGCGTTGACGTAGATTCACCATGATAAAACATTCAAAATAACTGTTGTCCGCATCCAAGACCACCAATTAATTTTTATTGCCCGAATAGCTATACTTGTGCACATGAAAGTGTCATAATAGTGGCATACCCGCCAAGGCCGGTATAGTGGGCAACACCCACTGTATAACAACAGCCAAAATGGAAATTCAGAGCTATTTACATAAATTTTCAACATATATATACAATCCCCCTCCCATCACCCCATCTCCACTATATCACCCCCTCCTCCCATATCATTCATCTACTATCGATCTCCAACATCCCGAAACGTCTCCGGAAAGAAACCAGGAGGCGGCCAAATATCCGCAATAGAAGGCGGATGAACAAGAGGCTGCGAACCAAGCCGATCAGGATCATGACAGAAAGCCTGGAACGTGGAGTCATCTCAGGAATCCGAAATCTTTCAGTCCTGCTTCGCGGTTGTGAGACCATTCTGTTGTGTCGAGGTAGGCTAGGTCTTTGAATATTGCGTCTAGATCTTCGGGGACGGGGACTGGGACTGGACCGGGGCCGGGTATAGAGTTGGAGGTTGGGTAGGGATTTGGATTTGGATTTGTGGAATTGGATAGGATTGAGGGTGAGTCGGGGGTTGAGGGGTGTTGTGAATGTTGGTGTGGGTGTGGGTGTGGTTGTGGATGAGATGGATATACTGCATCTGGTCGTTGTTGTGGTTGCGATTGTGATTGTGGTAGTTTCTCCATCTCCATTGGTTCTAATGGTCCAGACCTATTATCCACTGGCATCATGGCTAGATCCGTGTTCTCCATGATAGTGTCCTTTGGCGTTAATGACTGCCCGTCTACCGGCATGCTGATTCCCATGATGGAAGATGCGTAGTTTACTTGCTCAGGCACAGGAACAGGTACACTCGGAACGCCCGTGATCGGCGCTGGCATGACTCCACTTCCAAAGGTTGTTGTTGACGGGTTATACCCATTCGGCTGGGTCTGTGTCTGTGATTGTGTCTGCTGAGACCGCTCCATCGCCACAACAAGAGACCCATAAGCAGGCCAACTCGACACAAGAGCAGCAGTCTTCTGACGAAACTCATCCGCCCACCGAACAAACGGGAACGAATCCGGCGCATCAACATTCTGCCGTAAAGAGAACGCCTGTTCAGAGATAGTCCGAAGACCGAACTCAAACATAGGCGGCAGACCACAAATCGGGAAATTATCCAGATGCTGCGCCAACATGGATAACCCGCGATAAAGTAATTTCTTCGCACCCTCGGTCGCGGGTCGTTGCGAGCGATGTAAGCCCTGTTCTCCCGGGATGAGAGAGATATACAACCAGAGTAGGGTCGCGACATATGTTAGTCCTAGATAACTTTGGTGCGGTAGTAGTGCCGAGTGTCGTTCTGGGTAGATACTTTCCGGACCGATTAGACGACAGCCGAGTGGGAGTCCGTCGTCCCATTGTTTTAGGTCCATGACTAGTTGCTGTGCGAATGTGGAGGGTTTGTACCCCATTGAGAGATTGCGCGAGATCTTGTTCAGAACACTGGCTAGTTCGACCAGGCGATTGAAGCAGCTTAGAGACATCAGCGGTCCCCGACGAGGGGGAACTTTCCCATGCGCGGTGCTGGCGCTGGTGCTTGTGCTGGCGCCGGCCGTAGGAAGAACATCCGCCCAAGAATTCCACTCTTCCAATCCATCTTCTTCCAATAAACCGACCGGTGCAATATCATTCGCCGACATAGCCGGACAACGCCGAAGCCGGAAAGAAAGAAGTGAATCGATAACAAAACAGCCCAGAAACACCGCCTTGCCCTGCCTCGTCTCGTCAGATCGTCGCATATCTGTGGAAGTGCCCAGACCAATCGCAATCGCCATGCGCACTGCTTGTCCACTTAATAACCATGCCGCTGTCCAATCTTCCAGTCCCATATTCACCAACGTGAGTAGTAGTAATGCCTGGATGTGACCGAGTTCGTATCGGTCTTTTTCGAGAGGAATGAGATGGCGCGAGATGGTGTAGTACTCTTTTGCCAGTGAGAGTGTGCCGGCGGGACTGGAGCGAGGATCGGTTCGGGATTGAGTGATTGTGTAGCTGAGGATTGCCCATAGTGCGGCGTGGTCGCCGGAACCGGGGCTTGTGGCTGTGAGTGAGACGGCGGTGTTTGCGTAGAGGTAGGAGGCGCGGAGGGTATTGTGTTTTGCGAGGATTGGGAGCCAGGAGTGTGTTGCTGCGAAGTAGATGTCGAGGAGTTGGGAGGTTTGCGCGGGTAATTGGAGAGTTTGCGGAGAGGAAGAGGTGATACCGCGATCGGACTGTGGATGCGAGTGCGACTGTGACTGTGACTGTGACTGCGACTGTGCCAATCGTGTGCGCTTCGCAGTGGGCGAGTGCGAGGACGAATGCGAAAGTGAAACAGGACCGACAATTCGCGGCGCAGTCGGGCCTAGTGGACTCGATTCTCTCCCAAAGCGATACCCCCAACCACCATCTAGATCATCATTCGGATTGCGCGACCGTTTCCCCGTCCCGGCAGCTGTCGCAGGAGTCTGTTCCGAGCTGGAGAGCATTTTCTCCAGCGCACCATAAAGACGACTCGTTTTCCAAGTTTCATGTAAACTCTCGGAAGAAGTATCCTCGGACCAGATAGACATCAATTTAGCGCGACGATCGGCAGAGTCGGCGGTCGCGCCGAGCATGGCCAGCATGTTATCCTCGAACCCGTCGATGTTACATATCGATAGCGCCCAGAGCTTCTCGAGTCCGCGGACGTAGCCCTCGGGGAGACCGCGTTTCTTTGCGTGGGGGTCGTAGGAGCAGGATTGGCCGGTGGCCTGGCAGGCGGAGCATGTGGGACGAATGCCGTCGCATTTGTCCTGGAGATGTGAGTTAGTAGGGATCGCTTGAATGTGGGATGGGGGTAGCTGGGAGGAATTGGGGTACCTTTTTGCTGCGACAGCGGTCGCAGGCGCGTGAGACCCTCTTTCGTCGAGGGGCCTTGTCGGAACCCTCATCCATGAGGAGTGAGTTGAGCAGGACACATGCTATGTCTGCGGAGGAGGGGGAGGTGAATTGAGGGAGTTGCGTGGAGAGCGGAGGAGTGAAGAGTGGAGGAGCGGAGTGGAAGTGGAAGTGGAAGTGGAAGTGTTTAAAGTAAATCGACGCAATCGGATGGATTACGCAAGGCAGCCAACCAGAGGCGGTGAATATAGTTGTAGGCTAGGATTATAGAATTAATAGAAATAATAGAAATACTAGTTGAGATACTAGTTTAGAAATAGTAGAATTACTAGAATAGAAACTTGAAAAGTATGAGATATTCCAAGGCTGTAAGGAGTTCTGCTTCCCCACATCCCCACGATGTGGGAGATACATCCCTACAGTGTAGACAGTGTAGTGTACTATAGTATAGCGAACTAGTAGATAACTGATAGAGTACACTCGTGAGTAGAATACTTCTCATACTACCCTGCAACTATCTACTCTGCCTATCCCACTGGCATTCATCTAATATTCCGTACTTCCTATACTTCCACCGTATAACCGACTACCGCCAACTGCCGATCGTCGGCAGTTTCCAGCATCCCCACGATATTCCCAGATATTCCCAGATATCTCAGTGACGCAGCTAAACACTAGTCAAACTCAGGGTTTAGGGTACAATTTAGGGTAGAATAAATAGAACAAACACAGCCTCCTTTTCAAACCGGACTGATCTGATCTGATCTTCCCGGCTCGCAAGTCTACCCTACGGCATCCCGATGTATCCCCGTCCCGTCCCATTTCCTCCCGATCGGCTGATCGCTTCCGAAGGTGCGGGTTCCCTCCGCGGCTTCGGGTGCTCCACGGAATACTTACATGACTGAGATATTGTGATAGTACTAGTATACTAGTATACTAGCATATTAGCATCCATAGATACTCTAGATGAATATTTCACAGATCATCTACTGCAAATAATTCTACATGGTATCCAATTCCATTCCCTCGATGTCTCACTTCGAATTTAATTTTAGGCGCGGATAAGGTTTTTGCCGGGTATACCTCCATATTGCCAAGACCTTGCACTGCCCAGGAAGACGATGGGTAGAGGATGGAGTATACTAGGTAGTACATTTCTATATATATACTACTAGTAGTATGTTGACACTGCCTGTGTTAATTAAGCTTAATATTAATTCTATTTTTGATCTTGATGGTCTAGGCGGGATCAGATCTTCGGGGAAAGAGTGGAAGAGCTTACGTCTGAAGCAGGTGTCTCACAGAGGAGGAGCCATATGTTTAGTAATATAAAGTAAAATATCGAGATCAAGGCCAGCAACCAACAAGCAGGTAACCAGACACTAGATGAATCAAGAAAATAGATTTTCAAAAATATTATGGCAGGTCCTAATCAACTTTAGTTGTGGAGTGAATCTATTCAAAGATACACATCCATGTGGCTGCACGTTCTAACCTTGGAACTAACAAGCTGTGCAGGAATCTATTATGATGTATTGTAATAGTACAGTTGCTAGCAAGCGGCTTTTCTTTTCTCAGGTCCGACTGCCAATATTTACGCATTTACGACACCGGGTCGTACAGTGTCTTGATTGGGAATTCTACTAGTAGGAGCAAAGTGGTGTCAATTGGAAAACAATCTAACTCTTCAGGCATATCTTCTTGGTATATTTAAACGATTAGTAGATCCTAGCACTCGTGGCGCCTCCTCGCACAGAGCATTATACACAGCTTCATCGATAATCGGAGCTGCCGCACCCATAGCCGGCATTGCAGTGCCAAACCATAGTGGCATGGCAACGAACACCCCCAGCCCCGTGACCGCTCCCACTCCGAGTCCAAACGCGAGACAGGCACCATTAATACCCCAACCTACTGCTGGGATTGTTGTGGCGACAGAAGCTCCCCGTGCGATATTGTTCCACCCATTGGCGTCAAGAACATTTGCAACCCCATTCAGGAGCCCAGCAGGGGCTGCCGGAAGATTGAGCTCAACCAGCTCCTTGCCCTTATGTTTCTCTCCCTCAACTCGTAATGGGCTAAGGCTGTCTGGGAAATGAAGGGGCTCTTTGATAGAGATAGTGTACCAAGATGGACAAAGAAGGTGGAAGACAACATTCTTCCCGTTCACCGACTCGTCTATTAAAGTTCGCCTAACATCTTCCATGAATCGACATATCGTATCCAGATTATCTGCCTTGGCACAGAATTCAGGTGGTAGAGGGTTACCCCTGATCATCCTATGAAAAGCCCCATACCAATTCGTGTCAGGGTGGTAGACGAAAAAACGATGGTTTTTCAACTCTGCCGTATCGACATCATTCATCCTTTTTTGGATATAATCATAGACGGGTTTGGCAAAACCATCGGGTCCACCAGCACCCGAAACTTGAATGCTATTACCGTCATTGAGATGATCACTAATCACATTTAAGGCCTGGATTGCCTGGTTCGCTTGAGCGATTTGAATGGATGTAACCGTCTGCATCCAGCGTCCATAGTAGTTGATATGATCAACGAGTGACTGTCCAATGATATTGATGCCGTTGATTTCCCTGACCACGTTTTCCGTCGAAGTTGAAATAATGTTTGAGCCCCTGCCCGTCATGAGAGCAGCGTTTGTCACCACAGTATCTAGACTGAGATCTAGTGAATTATCGGACCGCGCGGTTTGGTGCATCAATTTCTTGACTATCTCCAGCTGCATCTGGGTGGAGATATCATCCGAGCCGACTTCTGCGACAGGAAGGTCGGCATTAGGCCGGTTTGGCTCCGAATGTTGCTCCACAATGTTCTTCCCAATACGCCAGATTATCCCACCAGCATCACTGGCAATATCTGCTGGCCGGCATAATTTGCGAACTAGCGCCTCAATTGCATCTGACTCTTTCGCAAAAGGGGCCAATTTGTCTTGGTGATATCTCAGGTAAGCTTCGGCGAGAGGCAAGTCCGGGTAGCGCTGCTGCAAGAGATACTCAAACTCTGCAAAATGAGCTCTAGATATTCCATCCATCTGGTAGAAAGCAAGTGATTAGGCTTTAGAATGAGAATGCTGGACTCAAACTAGCCTTACGATGATCAAAACAGAGTAAAAAAGTTAAAGTTTTTGTATCGTAGAAGATATAACTAAGAAAAGTTGAAATGAACGAAGTTGAAGATATTTCATAGCCTCTCGGGTGAGATGATTGAAAGTTTATATATTGACCTTATGTTTACAATATTGACCGGTGGTATAGGAACATCATGATGGCGCCAGCTATACTTGGGCGCTTGGTCAAACGAGCAAGGCACAGGAAGACGTTCGATGGTCAAAGCCAACAACTCAGCCTTGAAGGTAAATGAAACAAAAGCAATCCTGTTTTTAGCGGTGGCGTATATGGTTGGATTATACATAAAGTCCAACTTTAGTCAGGTTTCTAGTGCTGGTGTTTATTCGCGGATGATTGGTTATGTATCAAACTTGTAGCGCGCGGTTAGGTAATAGATGCGAAGGGAGGAGAGGGTATACGTAGCACTAGCATACATTAAAAAGAAAAAAACAACAACCCATTTTATCAGATAGCCAGTAGATTATTTCCAGAGTCACTGTCGCGGGGTTTGAGGTCCGCAGTTTTGTGACGGGCATCCGAACTCCTAAAAATGCGAGATCCGCGAACAAGGTCATGAAGAAGTGAATGGATCTTAAGGGGGGGCAGAAGACACTACCATTTCTGCGGGAGCATCAAAAAATCAGGAACAAATTTTTAAAATCTTTTTATAAAAAAAAAAAAAAGTAAGCCGGGTTGCCCGAGTTATCGACTTTCGGAAATCAAGCAAAAAAAAGGTCCATGCCGGGTTCGAACCGACGACCTTTCGGAAGTTTGTCTGACCGATCAAAACCGAACGTCATTCCACTAGACCAATGGACCTTGGATGATATAACAGCTCAGTAGTTCAATATATAATAGCGATACTACCTAAGTAGTATACTAGTAACCAGGAGTCCACTCATCCAGGTTCTCCAATCTACAGTAGATAGTTCTCGTCTTTTCTATCTAATTACCACCATCATCGTGTCTCTTACTAATCCGGATGGATCCTTAAGCATAGTATGTTGCTTTGCAATAGAAGAGAGTTGACCGTGTACTGGGGACAGAGCTTCATGTTATGTTTTATCTAGATATATATAACCTACTACTATGGCATCAATACTAGTAGGTAGTTCACTTGTGAAACAAATTAAGTACTATGAGGTGCTTGAAAGGATCTCGATTATACCAGGGGGCGGTGTAAGGAATCATTGTTAGTAGGCCATCCACTTTTGTACATATATACGAGTACAGTAGTATAGTATCACATAATCAGTTTTGATATTCCTCCGGTCGCAGAATTTGTTACTTGGTTCCCAGATAGCACAACGTTGCTGCTCAGATTACCAAACGAAGATGGTTCCAAACCGGGAATATCTGATCGGCATGCCATCATTGCCAATGATCCAGCTCCCATGAGAAGAGAAATCCCGGGAAAGTCCAACACCGAGCTGGAATCCTGGACCTTGTACTACGGACAACGAGTTCTCAAGATACCACATGACTATTGTGCGAATAAAGCAAAGGAGTATCAACATTTCGCTTCCGTTCCTGGTATATGTTTCTTTGGCTGCAATTCTGATCACGTTCTTCATCTCGGAGAAGTCAATAATAGCAGATAACATCGACCTCTTTCCTAGGTATATTTGCTCTCTCATCTTCAAGTTCTCCTTCTCGTGTTCGTCTTGGCGCTAGCGAAGTCGCTACTCTTAGCACCAGCCTGAGGCTGTCATTTAGGCCAGTAAGAACAGCGCGAGTTCAAGTTTCTTGGACATACCACACTACAATGGATAAAGATACAAGCCATGATACGTATCTGGTGGGCTATTGGTGAATGAAACTGTGGGTGTGTGAGCATCATGATTGCAATTGGGTTCACGGACGTAAAGACATCCTGGCGGAGAGGGAAAGGGAAGGCTCTGCAAATCCTGACGAAGCGACGACTTTGGC